ATAACTAGCTTCAAAACTTCCCATGCATTTTTCAAAATCTAATTTTTCTTATCTTATCCTATATAAGCATTTCTGGAATATACGCAGAGGGTATTGTTTACTAAAACTTCGTTTAAAATAATTTTTTCTGTCAATAATTTGTTTGTCCCATGAAAATCTGTCATTTTCCTGGCTACTTTTATTTAGTGATTTATTACCAAAATCGATAGCACCAGAATCAATATCTTATGTTAATAGATTGATTAGATACCCTCCTATCTGAATATGTCTTATTGCATGAATAAAGAACCAATTTTCTGGCTCAAAATCTATTTCAAATTTTTTTTCAAGGAGAGTAGATTTTTATGCTGTCATTTTCCTGACTTCTTGAAATCATTAATAACAAAAACTACATAGTTTTATCTGAGTTATTTTAAGAAATACTGTTGTTTTCTGCAGAGTATAAATGTCTTCGGTCAAAATATTAAATTAAAGTAAAGTTATATGCTATAAAATAGCGAATTTGTCATTATCCTGGCTTATGAATGCCGGGACATTGAAGTGTTGACAGAAATTCTTTATAACTGCTAATACTGTAAAGAGGGAAAGCAAATATTAACCTAATACCAAGTTTATGTATGATTGAAATATGTTTGGATGTAATCAAAGTTATTTATTTATTTAATGATTGATTATTATACACAATTTTATTCTGTAGATATCAGAAACCAACAAATTTTTTCTTTCTTTCTACAGTGGATAAAAAGAATTAATTTAAGCAATTTATTGTCCATCTAACATTACTATTAACTTAAAATGACTGTTTTTTAAACTTCTAAGGTAATATGTCATTTTTCTGGCACTCAAGATTTGGTGAATTTCTATTTTATTTTTTTTTCTTGAGCAAATATCAATAAACTACACTGCGGTCTATAAGATATTAATAAGTGTAGCTAAAGAAGTATACAAAAAATTTCTTAGATTATTTTGAAGATTTCAAATTTGAAGAAATTTTTTGGTTCGAATTGTCATGTTTCGTGAGAATCACCCATATGTATTTAGAACTTTGATCAAGTAATGAACGATAAAAAAGAACACAATCAAAGCCATAAATTATTAGAGTTTGGAAAAAGAACTCCAAACAAAACATCAAATTTTGTGGAATCAGTATGGAGAGAAATCACGGTAGATGAAATTAAAAACCAATTTGTTAGATACAAACATATTGGTTTTAATTATTTTAATCAAACTTTTGTTGGAATTCTCTAAATTGGTAATGCTCATCAATTGGATATCAGTTATAGATATAGTTCATGCTTAAACATCAATCTGATAATGTGTAAGTTTTTATAATTTTATTTTTAACATTAATTCTGTAGTGCTTACTGCGAATGTTAGTGCTTTATGGAAAATATACATTACATGAAAATGTTCAAAGAAAAAAAAAGACATAAAAACTAGTAATTTATAAAAATAATATTTTGTTTTTAAAAAAGGGTTAGTAAAAATGTATGTAATGAGAACCTCTTGCTCCTCTGTAATATGATGATGCAATGCATTTAAACTTTTCTTGTCCAGCTGTATCCCACCTAAAAATAAAGAAGAAATCTCAACAAATCATAACATCAAAAATAAATCTACAGACAGAAAACAACAATATATATATAGTATATACTCGATATCTCAAAGTTGGGAAGCTAAAATAGTCAAGAAAATGAGTTTTCAAGAACAAGTTCTGAACCAAATATGTTCTAAAAAGTAAAAAAGTAATTCTAAAACTTACAGTTGTGAAACATCAGAATATAAGTATTAATAAACATATTTGTATAATAGTTGACTATAAGTCTAAATGCAGTAATGATGAAAAAAAACAACTTTAAATTTTTTTCTATTAAAAAGCAACACAAAAATAATTATGCATTAAATATAAAATAATTAAATTACGATAAACTTACATTGATAGAGTTCTTTAAAAAAAAAACTCTACCATCGTGGCCTGTCAACATCGTTTTTGAAATTGCTCATTGTTCTCGTAACATTTCATAAAACATTTTAATAAGTGGGCAGCATTTTCTCTTGAGACGCAGTAATGTTGAGTGGTGGTATGTGATGATTTTTCCGAGAAAAAAAGTTTTTTACTTTGAAAAGTATTCGATATAGGAATTCAAATTAATACTAGTTGGATATGCAATGCTAAGGGAAAAAATATTTTTTTTGACATAAAAGGGTTTTAGATATCGAGATAGCTTGCGATATCGAGATATCAAAGCTTGCGATATCAAAGCTTGCGATATCGAGAGTATACTGTATATGTGTGTGTGTATATATGTAATACAAAAATTATGAATACTTTTGTATTAATAAAACCATTAAAACTCTTTCGTTTTCATAAAATGTCTTTGGTAAAGAATAGGTGTAGAAATTCTATTATGGGACTTCAAGGATGAAAACATTGAATTATAATTATACCTAATTGCAAAGGAGTAGTTATTTTTAGAATCTTATCCCTCATTCACTTCCATATTAGGAAGCATTAAATTATTGTCGATAATGCGTAGAGTTACAAACTATGCACTGACTTAGCCTTTTCACCTCCAAATCTGTAAGTATTTAATATATATATATGTCACATTTACACTTAATGTAAAGTGACAAATTGATTTCTAATTTTACTTAACCTTTAATTTTTCTTTAAACATTCTTCCTTTTTTTCAATTTGGCAATTTTATTTTTAACTTTCTTGTTGACCTTTCTCATGGTCGTTGCGGTCATCGCACTTCCTGTGGGGAAAGTCAACCAACCCCTCTATTCACGCCTTTCTTTTTCTGCTTTTAATTTTAGGGGGGCTAACTAACCAATCTCTTTCCTTTAAATTTCTAACTCTCCGCCTCTTTAAATTTAATTGGCCGTAATTTTTACGGGCTACCCCAGTTAAGGAATTTTTTTAAGTCACTTTTTTAATACATTCTCTTTTTCTCGAGCCTTCGGGCAGGTTACCTTTCTTTTAAAATTCTCCGCGATGCGGACTTCGGTCCGTATCGAGGGATTTCTTTTTACATTTTTTTCTTAACCTTTATTTTAAATTAAATCCTTAGCTGTAATCAATTTCTGTAAAATTTGAAATCAATATTTCATACCTTTAATTTTCTTTAACATTAAAAAGCCCTCTCAAATTTAAGTTTTCTTCTCATATTTATTTTAACGGTTAAATTACCCGTTCCTTTATATTTAACTTTATGCATGACGCCCTTGGTTTCTTTAAATTCTCTTGTCACCCATTTCCTTTTAAAAGATATATTTTTTTTGTGCCACAAAATGTGTTGCAATCATATTGTTTGTTTGATACGAAATAATCAAAATAAGTAGTTTTACAAAAATAAATGTTTGGTTGAACAGAAAGTTTTGTGTGATTGTTTTTTTAGCTTTACCTTTATCGCTATTAGTTATCACCTTTTTTCCTTCTGTATGTGGTGAGTACCTTTTTTTACTGTTATGGGCATGCATAAATGTGAATTTATTAGTTTTTCTTATTGGAAACATCAGCTTACTGTTTGAATCATATATATTGTTTGGATATAGCATGACTTTATCGTATTTANCTTTCCTCAACAGCTAATCCTTGAAAATTAAATAGCAAAGAGGTAAAAAAAGTTAGCAAAGCTAAAATAAAACACATTTTTCTATATTTCATTCACCTATATTTTTCATTCATCTACAGAGGAACAAGAAATATCTTAAAGTTTAAAACCAAATATATCTATAGATGTTTATAAATATTTTGCTTGGTTACACAAGTTCTTTGGAAACTAAAAATCGGTCTTCCAACAGGAATCTGTTCAGTACACAGTGCTAAAGGCATCGAGGAAAGTTCACCTTATTCACTAGACTTGAATGTAATGGATTTTTCTATTAGATTCATTTTAGAGACCAGGGTAAGTACAGTGATGTTTGAAAACGGGTTAATACTAATATAATTACATAAAATTTTGTACACTTTACAATTAAAAAGGTTGATGATTATTATATAATAAATGATTATAAATAACTATAAATATTTTTTACATAGAATTATTTTCGAGTAAACAAATTTTACAATTGTTTTTTAAAAAAATGTACCTTGAGAGATATGATAAATTGGGTGAAAAGTACGGGTAATGAAATCAAGAAACTCAAATTTTCAATAGCATTCCAGACTGAACTATCGAAATATTATTTTCCAGATTTTCCTAATCAGTAATTAAAAAAAAAGGAATATATAATCAAAGAAAGCATGATATGATTTTATAACAAAAAACATGGTCTGCACTAGCTTGCATTCATAAGGTTTACCCATTTGAGTTCGTCGGAAAAAAGAATAGATCAAAAGTTATTCAACTGTGTTTGAAAGTATTTTAGAAAAGTTTCACTCTTGGATGAAAATGTTTTGAGATATTGCTATTTAAAGTTTCCAAACCATTTTTATTCATACACACTCAATAATGTAAAAAATAATGTGTGTTTCTTATTTATATCAGTTTCAACTTATAGTTTTATGATGTTACAAATAAACAAAACTTTCCGATTATCTAAGAGAAAAAAACTCATTATTTTTGTAATTTAGAAATAAAAATACTTAAAAGTATAAAATAAAGAAATAATGGTAAAAATTTATGTATATAATAATAAGTAACTCAAAAAAACAACTAAATGATGAATCTTCAGTTTAATCCTAAACTAAAATAACATTACTATCTATGTTCTGTTATCTAAACTAGTACCAAAGCACATAAACCTTCTAACTCATAAACTAGTTACTGAAAGTGCAATAAACAAATGTGGTCCCATTGCCTATTTTAAACCTCTAGCATTAGCAATAATTCAAAACAATTAATATATATAAAAGACTGCTTTTTTGGCATATTTTCTTTAATAATAAATTTTACTAAGAAGTATAAGGTTTTTAAATTAATTTAATTTTTCTTCAAGTCCTTAAAAATTAAATATAAAAGAAGAAAAACATTAACAAAGGTAAACATCCTAACTCATAAACTAGCAACTGAAAGTGTGATGAACAAATGTGGCTCCATTGCCTATTTTAAACCTCTAGCATTAGCGATTTGCATTCTGAAACCGAAAGTAACAATAGGGACTGCTCCTTTATAGTTTGGAAAGGGAAATCACAGCTGCAGGGGTAGCAGCAAAGTTTTTTAAAATATTAGGAACTTTTTTCAAAAAATTTTAGGGAAAATATGATTTTGCTAGGATAAAAACAGATCACACGGTAGTTTATTACATAACAGAAGATTATTACAATTCATCCACACATATCATAAATAATTGCAAGCCATAAAATAAAGCTCTGAAATTTATTAAGTCAAGAATGAAATCTCTAAAGTGTAAAAATGAAATTTCAACTTTACATATTACCTATCAGAAATTAAGTGCATAATTCAGGAACAGGCAAAAGTGAGAATAAATCAAGAGAAAAAATAAATTAACACCAACTTGGATTTTTATTTAATTTTTACCTTCTTAATCAAAACTTTATTATTACCCTTTACCTTACTTTATTAAGAAAAACTATTGTGTGATATTATTAGATTTCAAATCAGCAATTTATATTAGAAGTTAGAGAAAAACAAATTAATCATGATCATTTTTCTAATATATTCTACTGTGAAGATGAGTCCTACAAGT